TATTAAGGGCTCAAGTAGAAGGCAAATGTTTTGAGAATGATGATGGCAACAAATGTACATATGTGCTTGACACAATGGATGTACGTATGGATTGTGATAAGAATTGTACAAGCCCCCAATAAAATGATTAAAAATAAAATAAAATAAAAAGAGCTGTGCAATCGCTTTCAATTTGGTACTTGAGTTATTTGAAGTTATTTTTCAATTTCACCCTTTTATAGGAGCAGCATTTTAAAGCATGATGTATTCTTTTCCGATAGCTTATGATGTGTTTAGGTCTGTTCAATCATCATTGGCAATCAGCATAAATTGCCAATCTACCCTCTGGTTAAGTTACCTTGCTGTTCTAAACTTATTTACAAATCATGCTATATACCTTATCCTTTCAAATGCAACTGCAACATCAAGTATTACAAACTTTACAAACCCGTCTCTCTAGAAAACACATTGTGGAGCATCAGTAACCAGATAGTATTCTCAAATTTCAGTGATCCTGTCCAAGTAGCCGTCCCTATGCACAGTGCTCTGTTTCATGCAGTACATGGCTTTAGCTGGCCAAATCTTTTTTTTTTCCCAATGAATCAGTAGAACAGTGAAGATCTTACTTTTTTTTTTAAGCAGTGGCATATCAATGAGGCACAGATGTGTATTCCAACTCTGCATGGATGAGCACACTGTTCAATAGTGCTGGCTCACACGGTATCAGGGCGAGTTATCACTTCCCATGAAGGCACTCTTATCACCAGGGCCCAGAGAGGTGGCTGCAAATCGCAACCTTTTTATTTTCAAGGCAGTTTTGCTGAACATTCAGGCTTCAAAGATTCACACTTCCAAAACTCTATAAGAGTTTGTGAACGCTCAATTTGCCAAAACAGTTTACAGTGTAATTGGGCACCGTACCTGTGTCCATGAGATAGCGAAGGCGCTTCTCCACCAGCGCGGCACGGGTGTCAATTTGCTTTTGCTCATTCTCTAGTGCTGCCAATTCTCCTACAACATACTGACTGGTGTCTTTGAACCCTTTCTGTTAAGGAGAACAAACAAGGAGGAAAAAAAATCACTTGTACGTTGCATTTTTCCTTTCTATAAACACTTAGTAAAGCACTTACCTAGAGAACCAAATATCACCCCTGGTACCAAAAAGCAGCTACCTATGATTCAACAATTTTTCATATGTATTATATGTCGTAAAACTTTTGAAAACAGAAAATTGCAGCCCTCTTTTCATAATCTAGCACCCAGATCAACCAGACTTATACAGTTAACATTAACATTATGAAAAATTATACTTAGGGTTAATTCAGAGTTATTTAAGCATTACTAAGTAAACAATGGAATTTTCTTCTTGGTGATTGTCAACATAAACACTAATAACACCTTGAATTAAAAAAGATAATGTATAAAAATGGACTTTTACTCAAATATTAATTCTCCAAGTATGTATCTCCCAGAATTCAGATGAAAATAAGGATTTGTTCCCCAAAAGGTATAAACTTTTAAAAGCACATTTTTTTTAAAAAGCACATTTTTAGTGAGTTGTTTAAAATGAAAAAAAAAAATTTAGAAAAGGGAAGTTTGCAATACTTCCTGCTTCCCTCCCAGTTGGCTCCTGTTTTTTCATGTATTGCTCCAGCTAATTACTGTAGCTGTGAATTCTAACCTGACCGGTGATTTCAAATCTTGCCACACAGGATCTAATGTAATTAGTATATTGATTTGGCTATTTAATCTTGAATTTCAGTTTGAAACTTTACTTTCTATAAGCACTCAACATTTTTAAAAGTTTAGGAAATTATCCTTAGTTTTCTTTGAGCACGATTAAAAGTGTAAGGATAGCCTTCATTTTTAATTTTCACATTAACAAGGAAGACTTATTACTTATGGCATAGTTCCCAAAAGGGGCAAATGAGAGCTTCCTTTGGTACACCTGTTTACCTTCTCGGGTCTAAGAGACCTAAATGGTTGGAAATATTGAAAAATGGCTGAGGTAATTACTGTTACCACTATTATGACCATCAGCACTTTTAATATCATCGGAGAAATTATCTTTTAGGACTCCTTAAACAAGAAACACATTTAAGAAGTATATTGGTTATAAATCTATTTTGGAATGCTAGTGATCAATAAACAGGTATCCAAGACTGGGTTTGGCTTCTGAGGAATTAACAGAATGTATAACTTATATAACTATGGCACAGTAAGTGGTGAACTTAAATCTATTATTAAATCAGTGACTAATTTAAAATTGAGACATATTCAGAAATTGTAACACTGATAAATTCTCAGGATGGTTTGGTAAAATAAGTCAATGTATTTTTTAACACTTATATAAAATGGTTATTCTTCTTTCCAAATCCAAACTAGAATAGAAGAAATGCTAATGGTATCTTTAAAATATGGCATATTTTGGTGAATGCCTTTTGGACCTATCTGCCAAATAGAGTATTTTCAAAGGCGGCTTGTTCCCCCCTCATTTGCATCCAAGAAGAAAAAGCAGACATGGCAGCTTGCAAAGAAAATATGAGTAACAAAGATATTAGAAAGTAGACATGATAGAGGGGTCTCGGGGAGGAGATGAGCCAGTCAGGGTGCGATGTAACAACAATGAAAAATACAACTTTCCTCTAGTTCCTAAATACTTCCTCCCCGCCCCCACTATCATGATCCGAATTCTATCTTGCAAGTCTGGCTAGACCAGAGGATGTACACTGGGACAGATGGGAACTGGAAGCACAGGGAATCCAGGGCAGATGATCCCTTCAGGACCAGTGGTGTGAGTGGCAATAGTTGAGTGGCAATAGTGGGAGGGTAGAGGGAGAGTGGGTTGGAAAGCAGGAACCGATGACAAGGATCTACATGTGACCTCCTCCCTGGGGGATGGACAACAGAAAAGTGGGTGAAGGGAGATGTCGGATAGGGCAAGATATGACAAAATAATAATTTATAAATTATCAAGGGCTCATGAGGAAGGGGGAGGGGGAAAGGAGGGGAAAAATGAGGACCTAATGCCGGGGGTTTAAGTGGAGAGGAAATGTTTTGAGAATGATGAGGGCAATGAATGTACAAATGTGCTTTACACAATTGATGTGTGTATGGATTGTGATAAGAGTTGTATGAGCCCCTAATAAAATGATTTAAAAAAAAAAGAAAAAGAAAGTAGACGTGATAAGGAACAAAGCCACCTCATTGCTTTTACTGATGTGTTAAAAAGAACAAATTTTATCATCAGATGCTTTAGTTTAAGCGTATTGAAGCACTCTGTAACTTTTAGGTTGTATCAGATCCTTCATCAGGTTACACGAGGGAGCTGGTCTCCGTACTAAGAACTTTCCAGGACTCCCAAAGTGAGCAACCTAAAAACACAGAGCTCTTGGAGCCCCCAACATGCAGCTGGTAACTCTGAGTGCATGCATATGGATTTGAAGATGCAGTGTAAGCCATTTTAAAAGTAAAAACAATGAAAATATATTTAGACAAACTGCAGGTAACAAAAAAAAGTAGCACCATTAAGCAGAGCCATGCTTCCAGACAAAAATTCATGTTAAAACTTGTTCTTCCTGCTTCTGTCCTGCAGCTGTCCATCAAAAGCAGCTTTCTCCCTGCGGTCTATCAAATATTTCCCTCACAAATCAATTTTACACATGATCAGCCCATACCCCTACTGAGCTGAACCTCCCCGTTAATTAAGTGAAGAAATTACCATATATATTATATTAATGCAAACATCATTCAGCTAGTAATTCACAGCTGATCTGGATAATGGAAAGGTTGAACACCCATTAACCCAAGCCAACAAAATGGGTTGGCTGAGAAATTCTAGCAGGTCTCATGTGACTTTTCCCTCTAACTGCAGCACTGCGGTATCTGCTATTGTAATAATTAAAATCCTCCCGGTAGATCAATACTGGAATCTCTTTATGGGAAGTGCCCTGATGGAAATGTCTCAAGGAAGCTGGGGCTGTGGAACTCTGAAAAATTCATTTTTTTTCTTAATCTGACAATTATCACCACACTGCAGACTAATTCAACAGTGCACCCCTCGCACTCTGCTTTGAATGCACTGGAGATTGACATCTTAAAAAACCTAACATCTCATTTTAACAAATAAAGGCACTATTTCCACATAGAGTTTGGAATTATCAGCAATCATGAAACCACACAAAAAATTAATATACATTAAGCACTTCATCTTCTGATGGCTTCCTCTGAGTTTCAGTTATCGCTGCCTTCTCCTCATTTCCCTTCTTTGTATCTTCCTGTATTGATCTCTGCCTCTTCATCTCTTAAAAAAAGGAGAAAGACATGTAAAATTATTATAAAGCTTGATATTTGTGTATTGAAATGTGGATTTACATTATCAGCATATATACATACATACATACATACATACATACATATATATATATATATATTCAAATGCTATTAAATCATAAGATGGGAAAACATGTTTAAAAAGTGTTCCTACCTGGCCTATTCTCAACATATTGACTGAAAGACTGAAGCTGAGTTTTTCTGACTGTAGAATCCTTGTTGAACACAACAGGATTTTTAAAACGTTCTGCTGCTTTTTGTAACCGCTCAGCCCGGAGATCTTCTGTGCCATTCTAAAAGTAAAACAACAAATGGTAAGAGAGTCCTGCTCTTATCCATATGACACTAACCAGTAGTAAGGCAACTCCTCCTACAGATTTAATATCATGTTGACTTGCTAAAGTAGAAACTTTGTGAGAGAGAAAAGGATTTTAGAGCATTCTGCATAATTCTATGACATGTTATGTTGCCTGTAATCTAAAACTTTGGGGAACATGGTTTAAAGGGAGGCTCAGTCTTGGCAACTTTGTTTCATTAGACATTGTGAACCCTGTGTCTTCTGCTGATGATATGTATCATTTAAAAGCCATGTCAAAAAAATAAAACTTAAAACAAAATTAATAAAAGCCATGTCACCCGCCACCCCTGCTTTCCACTATTCTACCCTATCGGGCTGTATAGTCCCACAGACTTGTATGACAAGAAGAACTAGTTTCTAATTTTATGCCCATTGAGATAAACCACTAATACTGGATGAAGGCTAAAAGGTAGGATTATAATACTACCCCACTGCACTGCATTTCATCAGCTATAACTTTCCAAAGCCAGATTTGTAAGTAAGCCCTTTACAGCCAAGGAAACTACAATTATCTTTTCCAGGGCTTCCTATGTTAATACTGGTAACAAATTCAAATGGTTCCATCAACAAGAAATATCCCAGAAGACTGAACCACTGCAGTGTGTGGAAGCTGCAGATACCGAGGTGCTGTGTACCAAACAAATATTTCATTTTATACCTAATCTTTTATTATTTTTATTAAGTGTTTTGAAAGTAAATAGGGAAAGGCTAAGATGCATGACTAATAGCTAAGCCTGCTGAATGCTGAAACTGGTTATCAAAAGCTACCAAGACTTTGCCCTTCCTCTGCATTGAGACAATCAGTAATGAGGGAGTCCTCCAATGGCCTATTCTCTAGCCTCAAGGAGGCCTGGGATACAGAATCCTCAAGGGAAGGTAACAGTTTATCCTTTTCCACAAACACAGAATGCCTCATTTATAAATGTGTAAACTGCATTTTATTAAAAAAAAAATAAAAACCCAAATCAATGCTGAAAGCTTCAAGAGAACAGATGGACTCTATATGTTCTTTATAAACACTGTTTTGTTTTGTTTTTTAAATCTTAACTACAAAGATCCATACAAAAGCAAGCTGTTTAAGGCATACACCTTTTGTTGGAATAAATAACTTAAAAAAATTACTACATAAGAGCTTTTTGGTAAACAAAAACAACCCCACCCCATTTAATCTTATTTAAACAATTTGAGCATAAAGATAAAATCTCTGTAACATTAAAAATAAGTTATCCAATATATTTATCATTAACACTATTAATACACTAGCTCTTTAGTTAGGAGAGAAACAATTTTTAGTTTTAATCTATTTATTGAAATGTGAATTCTACTGTCATCATCATAACTGCCCAATTGTCTAAAAGTCTAGTCTTTACCAAGACAAACAAATACAGCTAAATTTTTTTTTAGACCTGGCAACATGCTAAATATCAGTGCGATTAGCCAGCAAATCCCATCTTAAGAAACCTTTTTATGACTAGGGACTTCTGCCACTTTACAAATGTATTCCTCTAAACCCACTAATTCAGTTAGCCTTTTCAATCCATTGTATTATTCTTAGGCCAGCTTCATTCTGCATTAAATCCACTGCAGAAAGCTAAATTGAACGCAAAAAATCAGACCTGATCCAGGCTTCCTTTGTTCAAAGATAGAGACCAAAAGTCCTCTGGTGCTGCCACACACTTTCATCACCAATTTATAGAAACCGACAGTGTGCGGGAAAGCAATGAAAGTCATTGTTTTGGGACTTCAAAGCACCTCTGTGTTAGGGGAAGGAAATCCTTTCAGTCAGCAGGGCAGTCCCCGTAGTCCGCAGGTGGGTGAAAAGTTATACAGGACTGGAAGTGCCCTGAAGCTAGAGCAATATTAATGATTCAATGAGAGGGAAAAGGAGGGTGGTTTGGGTGGAGATCATATGAATAAGAAAAAGGGCAGTAGTAGTAATATTCTTACAATGTCCACACTTTTTGTCTAAGTCCTACACCGGTTCAGAGTCATAATGGCACAAAACAAATGCACATATCTTGAAATTGATATTCAGTCACATCACCAAATTCCAAGTTCGATGTATTCTTATCGACAGCATAAACCCTAGTTCATCTTAGCAGGGAGCAAGTTGAGGATTTTAGATTTGAGCAAGTTAGATTTCTCATAACAATGTATTTTTAAGCTAAATATACTTACTTACAGAATTTCCGAATAATTTCTATATACTTTCTAATATTATCTGAAATGTCAATTAATGAATTTAAAGCAGTTCTCTGAAAAGACAGTATCTATGTACCAATTATTATATTCATATCTAACTTATTAGAAGTTTAATAAAGTATTTAATACAAGGCAAGGACTTTGGCAAGAAATTATTTTTAGGATTATCAAGTACCAATGGAAACTAAAATGCAATCTAGAGATACCAAGTAAATGTTTTGAACAAGTTAAGATGTACCTTCATGTCCTGCTCGGAGCTCTCAGTTGCAGCTTTCTGGGCAGCACTGGAAAGTGAATTTGCCACCTGTGGCTGAGCTTCTAGGAGCTTCTTCAGCTTCAAGTCCACCAACTTTGTGTTTTGTTCTGTTAAGTATGCAAATACCATGAGTAACCAAGTGAGATGCACTTTTATGTCAATTTTATGTGACATCATAAACTTAGTATCAACTCTATGAGGCATCCTAAAAATCTCACTATACAAGTAGAAAGCAAATGTTTGGGGAATGATGATGGCAAAAAATGTACAAATGTGCTTGACACAGGGGATGTATGTATGGATTGTGATAAGATTGTACGAGCCTCCAATAAAAGGATTTAAAAAAATTAATGACAAAATGGATTAGCTTTCCAACATTATATTATAAAAAGATAATAATTAAAACTCTAATATGTCATAATGAAAGTTAACCCTATAGTAAATTGGAAATAAATCACTTAAATTATAAAAGTAAAAATCACTATATTTTAAAAGAAAGATGAAAAGAACTAAAGGGTTGTGAGTTAGTATATCAGAACAGACACATTCTAAATTCCTTCTGTCTATATATAAGTATATCCCCCAAATCATTCCCCTTAAAGAATACAGCCAACATACCTGCTGAAGTTATCATTTATAGTAGCTATGCTTACCTGAAAATCTATGCCTATATGTGTGTGTGTGTGTAAATAACTACATAGGTTATACATAATAAGACAAGCTACTACAAGCTACTTACATTTAAAGTAAAAGAAACATTTGATTCTAAATTATACTATTTTAAAGTGTAAACTATTCTAGTATATTAAATTCATAATACAATACTACATTAAAACAAACCCTAACATGATCCCAGACTATCATGTACACACTGTTCAAGTTTTATGTTCCTGTGTGTCCATACATACCTAGCATTGAAATCATGCATTTATGTTCATAAATACTTTTTTCTTACAAGGCAGAAATACAGTAAAGGTCATACTTTTGTAATATATTAAATATTGATATAAAGTTAAGCATGAATAAGACTTTTAAAATAAATAATCTCAAATTATTATTAGCAAGAGAATCATCTTTAATAAAATAGTTCAGAAACAAATGGAAACTCAAATAATTCTACTTAAATTCATTCAAAGCAACTTTAATAAAATGGTTGTAAGGCATGCCAACCATTTGGTGAATGATATTAATAAGTTTTCTAATTAGAGACTCTTAATAAATGTTATTATCATGATTTTCATGCAAATTGGTCAGTTTATATTGCCAGGCTTCTCTTTTAAACAATATCTGATGAACTATGGTCAAATCAAGATAAAGATGAGACAGTGTATTATTAAAATATTATGACTTTTATGTAATATTAAAAAAAGAATTTTGGGCAAAATAAAGCAAGGATAAAAATCATAATATATTCTAAGTGCCTCCAGATGACAGTTTGCAACCCTATTTCTTACTGCCATGGAAGAAAGCATAGATTTGAATTGGAAAACTATCCTATGCACATACCAGCACTTAATTGGCATGCTCAAGAGTTGTAAACCATACATTATTTAGCTTCAAATCCAGAAGCCTAAGATGTGTTTTCCTTTTTTGGTACACATAAAGTACGAAGAGTGCTTTTTAAAAAGGGGAATCATCAAGCCTATTCCATTAATTAACCAACCTTTAAAAGTATCTATAAAAGTGCCGTAGCTGAAACTAGAAAATTCTCCTTACCTCACTCAAGAAATGGCTAATTTGTCCTGTCCTCATAAAAAGCTGTAACATCAGGATACTCACTGTCATTGGATTTATATTTCTATAAATGGAATAGGACTTCCCTTCTGCACACATATAGATGTCCTAACAGCAATGGATATCAATAGGCCTGATAAAGCCTTAAAGGAGTCCTGGTATTGGTGTGGTTACACACTGGGCTGAGATTCTAAAGGAGCTCGAAACCACCAGCTGCTCCACAGTCGCAAAGACAGGGCGGCTTTCTACTCCCATAAACAGTGACAGTCTCAGAAACTCACATGGGCAGTTCTACACTGTCCGATAGGGTCGTTATGAGTCAGCATCAAACCGATGGCAATGAGTTTACTTTTTGGAGTTTGATAAAGCCTTTGGGGGTAGGGATAGGATTATTGCTGGGGTACGATGGAGGGAGTCGTGGACAGCAAAAACATTTTTCAAAAAGTAAAAAACAAGCCAATCCAAGTTCTACAGTATTTTAAATAGTAAGGATTAAAAAGCAGTCCTAATTTAGGGGTAAATATTTTTAAATGTCCTAAGATATTAGTGTTCTCTTGAATTTGCACAATTATAAACATATTGACTTCTGTCTAGAAAAGTATAATTTAATATTGGACCAGAAAGGAGCTATTGACAAAAGGAAATAGGTTTTCTTGGGTGTTCTTTATATTTAGGAAGACCCTGGTCGATTGTTTCTTAGAGAAATAAAAGCATGATTTCAAACAGGGAAAGAGACAAAGCAGGTTAGCATTGCTGGGGCAGGCAAGGACTGAGGAAAAGAATGCCTACTCTTATCCCCTTCAGATTTCTAGAGGAAAAAGGAATATTAAGGAATAAGCCTCTTTACATTTCGATTTGGAGAGATCACTGAAGACTTTTAATTTCTATTAGAACTTAGTTCAATAATCATTTATGGTACCCCACATGTATACAAAGCTTTGGACTTTTACTTAGTGCTGTCTTATAAAGGCAATGTCTATGAAACACTTAACAATTAAAAACCAGCACCAAGTATGTTTGTATTGTCAATAGTAACTTATGAAAGTCAGATAACCAGTGCTATTCACTGATGTAAGATACAAGACAAATTTAGCAGCAATCAAGGCGTTCTCAACTGACACCTCTTATTGTAATCAATCATACTTACACATAGAGTAACTTGCTAGCAATGAGGTACCTACCAATTTTAAACTGCGTCAGAAAATCTGATCCATGGTTTACATGTACATTTGGCATATTCTATATGTACTCCATCTATACTTTACCAAGGCCACATTACAATAATTAGGCTGGGACAGAGTGAAGCAAGTATTTTATGTATAAAAATAGTCTTGTGCAAAACCTAAGTGTAACAGTGGATCTTTGTTGCATGGGAACACAAGGTATAATTTGCTGGTCCACGGTTATCGCTAATTTTAGATTTAATTTTAAAATATATAAAAAACCATAAAATTAATGGGAGGCGAATTTACGTGAAATTATTTGGGAGATGCAACACAATCATATAAAGAAATTACTATTATTGATGAGATAATAATAAAAAAATAACTCAAGTTTGCCATGCAGCAGGACACAAAACATTTATAACATGGAATTACCGGGAGTATCAAGGTCATTTTCTAAGTTAGTAAGTTCATCTCCACCTCCTACAACAAAGCCTTCAGGAATCTCCTCGTTATTATCTATCTCAATATTATCATTTTCATCTGTAGGAAAATGTAGCAATAATGTTAGTACATTACGTAGCAAGAATGTTAGTATGCTATTTCTACTTTATGTCATTTGTCTAAAACACTAAAGAAAAATTAGTTTTTTAATGACAGTTAATCAAATTCAGGCCTGACCCAGAAAATCAAGTAACGAATACAGTCTTATGTCACTTTTTCACTATTGGGTTAACATTCATATTTTACATTCATCTATCAAAATGAATTGCCACATGAAAGCACATGCAAGAGTTTTGACAATTTGCCATATGTTACCCCTGAAGCACTCACTGAGTGTACATATATTCGAAAAAGCATTCCACTAGTCATCTCAGATAATAGCGCGTATAGTGCGTGTGCGCACACACACACACACCAAAAAAGTCGGTTTGGTGACATGTCATCACATAATATTTCTTCTTTTAAAAAAATGTCATCTACATTGATAAGTTTTACATTTCCATAATTTATTAGGTGTAAATGCATAAACTATGTTTTATAAAATTGTAACTCCACTTATGTCATTTGTATGAAAACATGAATGCTTTTGTGCTATTAATAAATTATCATAAATACATTATGGATAGAATAAGAGACAAGAAAAGATAAGGTAGTACCCACATACAAAAGAAAATTCATAAACAACTAAGATATCTTAGAAGACCTAAAGCTGGGAAAATGTTATTATTAAAAATTAAATATACAGAAGTCTTATTAAAATTTATTATCTTCAGTAAAAATCTTTAGGTCATAATTATTGAATCTTAATTTTTTTACATTAAGGATTTCTATTATATATATTTTTCCTCTCTAGTTCTAGTGATAAATTGACTAATTTTGAATTCGATACATTTGATTTGTGTATGTGAGGTTGGTTTAGCTTTAAATTCTATTGTTGACAGTGCATTTTTGAGAAACAGGTGTCTAGCCTTGAACGTTGAAGAATACCCCATCCCTTCTACCCTACAATTTCTTTTTTAACTGTGTAACTTTTATTAATAGTGAGATATTCCAAAGATTTTTCTAGTTGAGAAGTTGTAAAGTACTAGGGTTGGCTTAATCCTTTTCCCTATAGACCTTTGTGTTTGATTTTTAACCAACTCAACTTCTTAGTAAATACTTAACTGTGCATTAATATCAAGAATAATAGGTTCAACATTTAGTGAACACTTCCAATATACACAGTAAAAAACGATTGTGAAATGCCCTGGGGTAGGGATGGGAATGCATAGATAAGAACACTACTAAGTACTTTCAAAAAACTAACTGAGGCATTATACTTGGCAACATCCTTCAAGTACAATCTGTTGAGGTATCTTTTCTAATCCACGGTGCACAATTATTTGACTCAGCTCATAAACATGAGTACCTTTAACATCATCCTCTAAATCATTTTTTAGTTTAAATAAACGAGTCCAAAATTAGAATTCCAAGTGCTTCCTCAGCATGGCTCTACGTCGGGCAGAGCGTGCACTGCGCTCAGGGTCCAGGGGTTTAGTGCACTTCTTTGTGGTTGCCCACCACCCTCCGTTGAGTATTAGTACCCAATTGGAGTGAAAGCACAAAATGCAACAATGATCCACTTACCTATTCAAGAAACAATAACGGAATTGTACTTGCAATTTCCAAAAGCCAGGCTAAACTTCTGGGGTGATAATCAAGAATTTATTTTGCCTCAAAGGTGTAAGTTCAAGTTACCATATACCCACTCCTCACTTATTGGTATGGTTAGATGCCAAAGACCAGGCTGTCAAGCAAAAGTGAGCATTATGCAAAAATGGAGAACGATCTAATCAGACCACAAAGTGGAAATGACTAAATGATTACACAACTGCCAATTGTATGATTACATAACTGCTATACCACTGAGAAGCATGGCCCTGCCACGCTGACATATAACTTTAACCTTCACAGTTAGTATTACTCTCCCTCTCAAGCACCTTGGAATTTGTTACTACCAGACATACATTGCTTTTTTATTAGCATATAATTCATGCATCAAACAATTAGTTCAATCATTAAGAAGGGTTGCGCAATCATCACCACCATCAACTTTAGAACATCACACATTGCTAATGCAAAATTGTTTTTTTTTTTTAACTATTGCCATAAATGTAAAATGTTGGATAATGGTAGCTGATAAATGAGTAGCTTGACTGGCAAGTGTCACAGGGTAAATGTAAGGTATAATGCAAATTCAGACTATGGAAAGATTATTCCTTGTCAATGGCATTGGATATCGCTTCTTAGAAGAGTTAACTTTTACGCTGGATCTTGAGAGACATCCCAACTTTCCAGAGGTACCACTGAGGGAAGGACATTACTGGTATGAAAGCAGAAAAGGGTAGGCTATGTTCAGAGAAGACTACAAAGTACTATTTGTCTCAAACATGACCTAATTAAAGGAATAGAATGGTTGGATGGGGAGGTCCGGAGGGGGAGACAAGCTATGAAGGGTGAAACTAGACAATCCTGAAGGTCAGACTGAGAAGTCTGAACTGCACTTTGGAGGAAGGGAGGTATGTTCATGCTTGACTCTTAGTTGAAAGGTTAGTGGTGCAAACCCACTATGCGGTGCCTTGGATGATCTGCTCCTAAAAGGTCACATCCGTGGACACTGGATGGTACGGTTCCACTCTGCACACGGGGTAACCACGACTGGAAAATGACTCGAGGGCAACTAACTACAGCCTGGCTTCCTTCATGGCTTGTTGGGAATAAGACGAGTCTCACTGAGACTTTAACATGATCAGCACTGTGATTTGGAGGATTAATTTAATAATTAGTGTAAGTAGTTTTCAACCAAAATGTCTTATCACAATCAATTGAGAGGTATGTATAAAATAATTAGTAGTAATAAGTACTGAAGCTTATGCCTTTATTAAATTAGAGCAGCTTCAATATCATTCCTATACTGTTACTCTTGTTTATATCCTGCTATGCCTTGTTACATGAGAGAAAAGGTAGTCTTAGAGATTACATATGGGCATTGTCCCAGGGACTCCAACCGTCATGCACAATTGCTGACTTAGAGGCCAAACTGGAGAAGAGAAAGGCGGGAGGCAGGAAAAGCAGGTCAGACACTTAAGACTCCCATGCAAGTAGTTAAGGAGAGCAAAACTGAAGAGACAGAGAATTAGAAGTGGGTATGATGCAATCTGAAATGGAGTGGATTCTGGGTAATGGAGAGGGATACTGGGGAAACAAAAGATGAAAGAGAAACCTACCCTGACACGCTAACTTGAGGAACAAGAAGGAAGGCACTGCCATGGAAACCTCTAAGTCTGGAAACATGGCCAGATGTGGGTATTTTCAGGGTCCGGTGATATGCAGAAAGATGCCGTTCTTTTCATGGCCTGCTATATGATGCCAGCGCCTATGCGATGTTAAACAGGGACCACCCATTTGAATTGCCAGCTAAGGAAATCTCTATCTACACTACCACTCGCCAATAACGCAGGGTGAGTTAACTCAATGTTTATGTATGTAGTGCTAACCTTAGATAAAGGGATTACTCTCTGGGAGGGCAAGAGTAAAAATTGATCTCCTAGACAGCTCTGGTCTTCTTGAGAATTCCACTTTCTTCCCATTCACTGGGTTCAGTTTTACGACGAAACCTTGAATTCTTTTCAACAGTTACTGTGGCACATTTAACACCTGTAGAAATGCTCCAAAAGCATTCTAGTAGAACTAAAGTGCATGTATATGTGTATCTGTATACATTAGGCTTATGTTTAATGTATATGAGTTTAAAATATGAGATACCAAAAAAGAATCTCTATGGTTAACCACGGAAAACTCAGTAGGTGTTAGCAAAGCAAAAAGGAAATTAAGAGATCCAGTACACAATATAAATATTGTTGTTTGGTACCAGCAGGTCAGCTCCAATTCATAGGAACCCTACACATAACAGAAGGAAACACTACCTCATCCTGTGCTATCCTCATAATTTTTATGTTTGAGCTGATATTCAAATATTAGAACATATTATTAACTGACATTAAACCAAAAAACCGAACCCTTTGCCATGGAGTCGATTACAGCTCCCAGCAATCTGACAGGAAGGGGTGGACCTATCCCGTAGGGCTTTCCAGGGCTGCAAAGCTTTGCAGAAGCAGACAGGCATATCTTTCTCCTGTGGAAGGATGACTGCCTCGAACCACCAAGTTTCTGCCAGCCTTTCAGTTACTAGCAGAGTTTAACCACTGCACCACCAGGGCTCCTTATTAATCCAAACAAAATAAAAGATATTGAAGGCCAATAAGATTTTATTTTGATTCATTTATGTAATAAATCAATTCACTATAACTGAATTAATAATTATTACACAGAAACATAACTATTTTCATGGGCAAATTAAAAACACACACACATTTATTCATTCAAAATGAAAACATGATTGCCACCTTCTATGGCAGTGATTTTCAACCTTCCTAATACTGCAACCCTTTAATACAGTTCCTCATGTTGTAGTGATCCCCCAACCATAAAATTATTTTTGCTGCTACTTCATCACTGTAATTTTGCTACTGTTATGAATCGGGCGACCCTTGTGAAAGGGTCGTTTGACCCCCCACTCCCCTCACCCCCCCACCCCCGCCCCAAAGGGGTCGCAACCCACAGGGTTGCAAACCGCTGTTCTATGGCGTTATCCATAAAAACAAAACAAAAACCCTCCCTGCCATTGAGTCAATTCGAACTCAATGGTACCCTCCAGGACAGAGAACTGCCCCCTTAGGGTTTCTGAGACAGGAACTCTTTCTGGGAGCAGACAGTCTCATCTTCCTCTCACTAGTCACTGGTGAGCTCAAACCACAGACTTTGTGGTTTGTAACTTAGTACACAGCCCACTTAGGTACCAGAACTCCTTATGTCCCATAAGGCATCTGAAAAATTTAACATTTATTTAGTTGCAGATAATTAATGAATAATTTCCCAAACAAAAATTCAAGCCATATTCTCTGATCACAAAATCATAAAATTAAAAACGAAACACCGAACGTTCCCCCAAATACCTCTGCCTTGTAGGATAAATATAATAGAATGGACTTATAAGTTTGTCACAGTTAGAATGAAGATTCAAAAATGTGGCCATTACAGGCAAATGTTTACAAAATGATGCGGAAATTAAATATATATATACATATGTGTGTGTACATGTGTGCATGTTTGTACACACATTGTACACTCTAATATCACCTGATTCATTTCTAATCCCTACAAGTAAGTTAATGGAGGATGAGTAAAAGTCAGGACAGGTGTGAGTCTCTTCTTACATAAAAAATTAGGATATGCCTGGTTGCAGTATTTTTTATGGGCACTATGTAGCTAAGAAACCTCTCCTGCAAGCATATTAAGTTTCCATTTCTTGATAAAGTTGGCTTTTACTTGACAACAATACAAAAGCAAGCTTTCAAGTAAGCTCACGAAATGGGGCTGAGTGATGATCATGTTCAAGACACTGCCCAGGTTGTGCTTCTAATCTTATTATTGTAATTACATCATTCTGTCCTTTCTTTACTATACCCTCTTCTTTGTCATCCTATTCTATTACTCCATCTAGGCTTGTCCCAAACTATTTCTCTCTTCGTCCACACTACCCCCTAGCAAACTGCCTCTCTCAGACCTGATGACGACTTCCACTAGTCAGTGGAAGACCAAAAAACCCAAACTCGGTACTGTCGAGTTGATGCCAATTGACACCGGTTGTGCTGCTACCACAAGATCAGCAGTTTGAAGACACCAGCCACTCAGCTGGAAGAAAAATGAGTTAGTCTCAGGAACCCACAGCGGCAGTTCCACCCTGTCCTATAAGGGCGCTATGAGTCATTTAAAGGGTAGACATTAGCTAACTCTTTCTCTTAACTTATCAATCATATAGGGACATTTTTTCACAACAGTTAGCCGCCTGTGAATCTGAGTGAATTTCTAATTTACATTGCAATGGTCAGATCAGGAGCCAAACCCAGCTCAATGCTTTCTGGGCTATGGGATAGTCACATCTATCCATTTACCTATCATGCAAGGCTGCTTCCGGGCTACATTCAAGGGCATACATAAAATATTTACTGGCCCCTTACAGCAAAGGTTTGCTGCATCCTGGTCTAGCCCAGTGGTGGGCACTGCTCAACAGATCAATGCATTATGTATGAATGATTGGATTTCAGGTAGAAGTGTTCTCTTCTTTCTTTTGCACCCTCAGCTTCATTAACTTGAATTTAGACCATGAGGCCAGAGCAGACTAGGTTTAAACCACAGACTTCTGAGGGCAGGGAATAGGCTCACTCCATTGGTGTTATGTCAAACTTGGCTCTTAGAACCCACTGTATAATGCTACTGCTTCCAGCATCTAAGGTAACTGTGTCCTGTGGGAGAAGTGGACCCTGGCCACTTGCATACCCTTAGGGAATATATCTTAGATGCTTCAGCAGTTCTCACAGTTATCTGCCAAACACTCTGTCTCTTCACCTCACCTTGCTTTCCCCACGCTGATGCGCACTCCTCCTTTATTAGCTCCCCCATGCATACCTCATTTCTCCTTTACTTTGTTGGTTGTTGAAAATGGGAATCCAGGTGTCTGCTTTCCCTAATTACTTAATTTCCCTAATTAGTAGGGAAGTGACCTATTCTTTGGGTCTCCAAACTGACAAAACTATGTACAGCTAATCTAATCCTGATTTGACCTCAGCTACGGTGAGATTATAGGGGTAGGTCCAAATACATAACCAACTCATCCTATACCATTATTTAATATGCTCACATTCTTAGCTGTCCCAGGGTTTCCAATCCATTTAGTATAATTGTCTGCACACAATTGGGGGGTGGGGGACAGGGGTGGAATTAAGACACTAGGCTCCAAGAAGTCCTTGTGGTGCAGTAAGTTAAGCACTGGACTGCTAACTGCAAGGTTTGAGGTTCAAATCCACCAGCTACTCTAGGAGGAGCAAGATAAGGCATTTGGTTTCTGTAAAAATTCACAGTCTCTGAAACCCTATGGAGTAACCCTACTCTGTCCGACCAGGTTGCAGGTGCTGACTCAGAGTAGACCTGATGGCAATGACTTTCGGTGTGCTGCCACCTTAGTATTATTCTCCTCCGCAGTGGCTTTCTGATGCCACAGAGAGAGTGCTTTATGAAAGTCTGTCTGGGGGAAAAATACAATACAGGAATTGGGAGTTCTCTATCAACCAGAAATAAAGGAGGGAGACTTCTAAGACTTACTTTAAAAATCTAGAATTTTTATGGTATCAAGTAAGTACTATGTTATTAATGATAAAACACATTATTATAGCATGATGCAAATGTAATCACGAGTAGTTACCGATATCATATAAAACTACAGTAGAGAAATAGTATATAAATTTCAATAGGAATCCTAAATGACAGGACATAGAAAAGGGAAGATGAAGGATTTAACTAAAATATAAACATTCTTAGAAGACCATAGTAACAGATACAATATTATTGGGCTACGAAGCTTTCAAATTTATGGGATGGAAGGTTAGATACTATGGGCATTAAATAAAGTCAATCAGAAATAATGGCAATCCATTTTCCTTCACCTTGAAGAAAATGATCATTAACCCAGAAAGAGCTTACCTCTCTTTCGGTTAAGTTCTTAATAAGGAGTCTTGGTAGTACAGTGACTTATGCATTGGGCTGCTAACTACAAGGTCAGCCATATGAACCCACCAGATACTCCACAGGACAAAAGATGAGGCTTTCTGTTCCCATAAAGATCTACAGTCTTGGAAGTATCCTGTCCTATAAGGTCACTATGAGTCTGAATCAACTCAATGACAGTGAGTGGAGACCTTATTTGAGTCCTTACCCTTCAGGGTGATCTAATAAAAATTCAGGACAAGTACATGACACGCTTTGGTAGATAAATATCTTTAAAAAGGAAACAAAACAAAACAACTTTCAGATCTCATCAATGTATTAATTTTCTTAAATGACAATTAACTTCCAAAATAAAGATGCCCAAATTAAGCACCAAGATCAAACCTCTTTTTTATGTCCTTGTCCCAATAGCAAGTTTAGAATTATCTCTGAACAGTACAGACTGAAGAAGGCCAGTGTAGAATAAGGACAATAAATAGACACTGATAACGGCACTTATTTGTACAACCCTAACAAGAGAATTTTAATTGGCATCTTGCAGCTCACTTTGTTGAAGTATTGTAACTAGAGTTATAATGGTAATACATTAAACAATAAGATATATCCAATATATGAAAAATTCTTCTGTGTCAGGCTATAATGCCGAAACAACTTTGAAGCAATGATCTGCTTCAAAATGAAAATTCTTCATTTTAAAAACTCACCATTTAGACATTGCAGACTTAATTACAACATACTCACACTTAGTACAATTAAGGAGATATTATGGTATATTACAAACCAAGGTATGTATGAATTTTCTTTAAAAACAAAAAACAAAAACGGTGTGCTAAGAAAGTACTTCTCATGTTGCTAAAAATTAAACCAAAACTGATTTGGAAAATAGCAATAACTATGCTTCCTTTTGGTTTTCTGCAACATATCAGTAGGCTGGAAACTTTGTGTATTTGATGCAACATTTTGAAGTACAAATAAAAAGTCCCCAAAGGTCCACTGCAGATTTCTGGGTTGTCTGTAGAATATGATACAAGATTCTTTAACTCACCTCCAGATGCCTTTGACCTTTCTTTCAACTTTTCTGCAGCCATTTCACCGTAGCTGGGAAGTTCTGACATCTTCACTCCAGATCGAGCTTCTGCTATTAGCTGACGAGCTCGCTCTCTCAGCTGCCGACGTCGCTCTTCATCTTGCTGCTAAGATATATTGAACAGTTGCCAACTCAGTAATTGACAGAAATGCAATTTCATTTTCAATCTGATCATCATGATAGTAACTGGTTTACAGCATGGTGCTTGGCCCACATTATAAATAGGATGCTCTATATCAGTTAGATGTCACACCATTTTTAAAAGACATCCTAGAATCACATTATTATTATTTTAACATTTACAAATTACTGTACAAAAATGTCCATTAAACATTCAGACTAGCTTTCAAAGAATGTTTGTTAATATAGATTTCTCAGAAACTATTTTTAATAAAGTAATCAGGCTTCTTATAGAAAAGAGTCATAATACTGACAACAGAATTTCCATTAACACATGATTTTAAGAATAGAATTTAACTTGCTAGTTTTTAATAAAAGCAGTTATAGAAATCTTTGATAACAGAAAATGCTGATAAGATTGCACTGATAAATATACGAAATGGTAAGCATTTTTGGGGGGGGGGGCGGTTGAGTAGAGGTAGGGACAGCATATCAGTTACACAATTCTGATTTAAAAATTAATAATAACAATAATCCAATAGTGGTATGAGATTTTGATAGCTCCCTCTCTCCTGTGATATTGAGAAAAGTAGAAATGAATGTTGTTCCTGCTATTTGAAATAACAAAAAGCTAAAGAGAAGAACTAAAATTGCTTTGGCCTACTAAAAAAGGGTCATTATGAAACACAATCAAGGTGAATCTGCTTTACAAACAAGAAAGTATGTAAATTAAGACATTATTATACCAAATGAAAGCTGTTAATAATTTAGCTCCAAGATGCCTTTGCAGGGTTATCTCCCCTTGGCCCACCCCACCCCCACCAATGCCCACATCTGTTTAACAGAATTGCTTGCATCGGGTAGTTTCATGCATCTGTGGCTCTCACTGTCACTTCCTCTTCATGGAATGTCCTCTCATCTTATTTAACTTCTACTCCTTCTTCCAGATTCATTTTAAATGCACGAAGCCTGACTATCCTTCCCTCCTCCTGGTGGAATGAAGTGTTGGGAGTGGAGTACTCTGTATGTGGGCATTTATTTATTGAACAATACTTGTCAAATTACTTTTGAACTCTGAACAGATTCCTCATTCCCACTAGAGTGCTGCTACTTGAAAGCCGGAGTTATCTTTGCACCTTTGATTCTTACTACATACCTTGGCAACATGCTAGGTGGGTACTATAGAAAAATGCAGCATGAATAACTTACTATTTACGTTCTAAAAAAGTTAACTTTATACAAGGAGAGATACAAGTGCCACCATGAAGACGTGTGCATAAAAATACTGCAAGAGTTCAAAAGAAGGCAAGGATATTTTTGGTTGAGGGGCAATCAGAAGGCACATCCACATTCAGTGGATCATCAAGTCAGTGCTGACTCACAGCGAGCCCCTATGGGTTTCTGAGACTGTAACTGTTTACGGGAGTAGAAAGCCCAGTTTTTCTCCCATGGGGCTACTGGTGGTTTTGAACTACTGACCATGTAGGCCGAAGTCTAATGTGTAACCACGACACAACCAGAAGGCATCAAGACAAAATATTCATTTTATTAGTTAGGCCCAAAGGATGAGTAGGATTTGAAAGGGCAGTGATGGGGCTGGGGGACAGGTAAGAAATAGGAATAGTGCTAAAAGGAGAGACAAGAGAGTCTATCATGGGAAAGAATATAGTGCAGTTTTAATGAGCAAGGGCAACACAGTGATAGAAAAACAAGCGAAGAAAAAAGTCATAGAGTTGGCAGGTAGGTTTGCACAGCCATGCACAATAGGGCGAAGTGCTTGTATTTTATTCTAAAGATAGTTGAGGCCAACTTAAAGGTGTTTATTTTTCTTAGGAGAATGACTAACTAGAGATGAATCTGAGATGAGTAACTTAGCAACAATATAGAAGGTAGGTTTGATTAGTGGAGCTGGAAAATGACTAATTGGAAGGTTCTTATAACAGTGCTGTAGTGAGATCCAGGATACCAACAATGGGAGGAGACGGGTATAAAAATATAATTAGAGATAAAACTGGTACCTTTATCTATTCTTGGTAAACGATTAGATGAGATAAAGGGGAGAACAATGACTCAGAAATTTAAAACTTGGACAACTAAAAGAATTATGACAGTAATAATCAAAATAGAAAAGGCAGAGAGGGAGAGGAAGCTTAGGGTAAGAGAGACTGGGTTTGAGGAGCTGGCAGAACTTCAGTGTACAGATATGAGGAACTTGGAGAAGTACAGATCATAATCAAATGTGCAGTCAGAAACAGAAATTGGCTTTAGAATGATCAGATTGTGAATACAGAGCTGATGCTGAAGTTACAGGTAGGTAGATAGAAGAAGAACCTGAAGATACACTGTAGACAGAAAAGATGGCCACTGACTGAAATGTGGAAAACATTTCTATTTAGATCAGCGGTTCTCAACCTTCCCTAATGCCGCGACCCATTAATATAGTTCTTCATGTTGTGGTGACCCCCAACCATAAAAGTATTTTTGTTGATACTTCATAACTGTCATTTTGCTACTGTTATGAATCGGGCAACCCCTGTGAAAGGGAAGCTCGACCCCCAAAGGGGTCACGACCCACAGGTTGAGAACTGCTGATTTGGATAGGAAAAGAGAAAAGAAGGGGGAAGGGCAGAGAGCACTGGTGTATCATGTGAGCCAAAGTTGAAGAGACATTCAAGAAAAAAGGGAATGATCAACTGCAGTAAGTGTTAGAGGTTAATGAGTCTAAAAGTTTAAGAAAGGGCGATCAAACTTGGTGAAAAGGTCATTAGAGACAGAGATACACAGAACTAGATGCATGGAGCTCGAGTCTAGCCAAGTCTTTCACGAACTTTTGAGATGGCTACAAGAAAGCTGTCAAAATTAATAAGGGTAGATTAGGAGGGGTGTCAAATGGACCCAAGGACAAGCCTGAAAGTCCCAATGGACAAATTGGGAGGGACAATTTCAGTATCAAAAAGAACAATGACAAGAGTGAATGTAATCAATGAAATCAATGAAAATTCATGAGTTCATTATGATATTCAAGAAGTTGAAGAATGGAAAAACTCATTTGTTACCATTTGAGGCCGCTTTTAAAATAACTTGTGAAAATTAGCAATTAAAGGAAAAGAATCAAGCAATTATCTTGTTTCTCCAGTAGGAACTAAATTTTAGGGTAACTAAATAGTCCATCAATGAAAGAAAGCTTTACTTTACAAAACAATGCCAACTAATAAATGCAAAAGGAACGACCGAATTATAAACATATACTTTGCAAGTTATAATGAAGAGATTGATTCTGGGAGATTGTCAACTGTTAATAAAGCTCCGAGGTAAATGCCTGATGGGGAGCTGGATATTCACATTATGCTATGGCACAACTGTATTTTCCCAGGTTACTGTAAAAGACCCCCCTCCTCATCCACATGCCTTGTGCTGTGACTGTGCCACTCTGTCACGTGCAGACTGATGCTTGGATCTGGGTCGGCTCCAGTGACTGTGTGCACTCCACAGATGGTGGCAGTCTTGCTGGTGATTTCCAAGGCTGGGTCAGAAAATCTCAGACCTTTCCGTCTATTTCTCTTGATATTCATGCTTTCAAAATGCTGACTAGGAAACCAACTGTCATGCTGTGTGGAGGCCAACTTTGAGTCATCCCGGCTCCAGGGCCAAAAATAGCAAAGAGAATCGTGCAGCCATTTTGAAACACCCAGTTCTTCCTGTCTTCGGAATTGAGCCAGGACGATGTAGAGCAGAGCAAAGGCATTCCTATCGTACCTCTTAGAACTCCTGCCCCACACAATCTGTGAGCATGGCAGCAGGGTGACAGCTTTTCGTCCATGTCTTTCCCACCACTAAATTGAGGATGGGTTGTTATACAGTAGTAGTAAATGGAACATATGCTTAACCAACACACACAGAGATTACATTCTAGTTGCAAGGAGATAAGCAAGGTATAAAAGGAGGGATCAGGGTTAACATCTAATCTGGTATTCAGTTTTAGTATCACTATTGCTGGCTCAACCAGATAATATATGTGGGTTTTTGTTTGTTTGTTTTTTATGTGAAGCCCATTATGCACATGACCTGCCCACTGCCATTGAGTTGGTTCCAACTCTCGTAGCAACTTTATGTAGGGTTTTAGAAACTAAAAATCTTTATGAGACTAGGTAACCTCCTTTTCCTCCCTTGGAACATGGTGGATGGTGGGTTTGAACCACCAGCCTTGTGGTTAACAGTCCAAAATCGCCACTAGGATTAGCTATATGAGTTTCAAAAAGTTCATGGAAAAATGGGATGAAAAGATAATGGAATTTTTCTGGGAACTTTTTGTAGTCCCCTTGTATATTCTAAAATGATTCAAAGTGATTCCATTAAGCCTCTCTGGTATAATTTCTAGTGTAGAGGATAGAAAAGCTGTTAAAAGACAAAAAGGAAGCAATCAAACCGATTTCAAGGTAGGATATTCAGGACAACTAACTTGGCCACTTTAACAAGCCACAGCTATGAAAACAAATCAGCTAACCAACACACAACAACAAACAAGCAGTCAACTACCTCGAACAACAACAAAAAAATGACTTAACAACCAGATGCCATGCAGAGTCCTGGATTTTGACAACCCAACTCTAAAGGGCATTATTGAGTCAATTAGATATAAAGCTGAAGAAAAAAAAGGTTGCAGAATAGTATCCAGAGCATTAACCACATCTTACCATTTGGCACAACATATATTTTTATAAATATAGATACAGAGAATAATCTGGAGAAAAGTGAAGATTGTAGGCTATCTGGTGGTAGCTAGATGGTGGAAGAAGCAAAGGAAGATAAAGAAGACTAACAGACTCAGGGGAAATTTCTTTAATATTTTAAGACAAATTTATCTGTAGGTAGAGGAACCATAGGCAGTAAGCAGGGTGAGACTGAAGACAGAAGAATAATATACAGAAATGCTAGTTCCCTATCATTATGCCTAAACTTGAACGATATACCAGCAATAAAAGAAAA